TTCCCAATTTGATTGTACCATCTGTTTCTTGCTGGGACCCTGACTGATAGAGTATGCAGTATCCAGAAGGTAATATCTCAGCAAAGACTTGAATGATCTGATGGAATGAGTCACAGAGATACCTGGGGAGAAGTGCCAAGATCTTGCAGCAGCCAGGAGGCAGGGGCAGGGTGAGTGAGCTGGGGAGGAGTGTAGAAGACAAGGTCAAAGGGGCAACAAATACTCTGGGTGTGTTTTGTGTGTGTGTGTGTGTGTGTGTGTGTGTGTTGGGGATGTAGGTGTGTGGTGCGGGGGAGGGAGATCATGTATGGCCTTGCTGGCTTTTGTAAGGACTTTGGCTTTTCCTTAGAAAGAAATGGGGAGCCATTGGAACCATGTACATCTAATTAAATCTAATAAGACTGCCTTCTGTGATGTGCCGACACTGGAGCTCTGTGATTTAGTGCTGAATTTCTCCTTCCAGTCTTCCAGCCTGATGATGAATGCGTGGGCGTGTTGAGCCAGCCCAGCATGCTTGGGCCTGAGTTCAAGGCTTTGTGTCTCTCTCCTGATGCTGTGGGTGACATGACCTTCCTTACAGTACAGGATTCAGACTACAGTGTCTTTTTTTTGTTAGCATATTCTTTTCAGTTCTGTTAATGACTTGGGAGTGGGCACATTTTTCTTACTCTTTTTTGTTGTTGTTAAAGTCAATAGGCCCTTCTACACTGACTTCAAAACGTGTACTTATCTAAAGGGTCTTATACAATAGAGAACTGCTTAACTATTTCAGTGAAAATAATACAAGGAGTTGAACAGTAATACTATCTGCCTGCCTACCTCTTAAAGATGGTGGTTTGTCTTGAATATTTAAAAGGCAAAGAGTTTTGCATGTACAATGTCCAGAAAATAAGATATAGATTTGAAAGGTGTTTTAATCCTTCAATTGAAATTTCCATCTGAGCTGGGCCTTCTGGTATTAAGTCTAGCTCACTCTCCACAGATTACATGAATGAAGGTGATTCTCCTGTAACCCCTACGAAAGACTACCCTCTCTCTGCTGTTTCTCAGAAATATTCCCCAGGCTGAAAGTTACTGAACCACCCGTGTAGAGCTACAAACATCTGCATCAAATGTGGATTTGCCCAAATAAGGTAAACTGATCTTTTCTAGGTTTTACTTCAATCAAAATTTAACTCTAAATTGTAGCTACATTCCTTCAGGCTCTATTCTTTGCTTTCAGCTCAGAAAGAAAGTAAGCAATTTAGCTAATATAACTAATTAGGCAGGCAGAACCCTTTTCCTCCTGGCTAACAACACAGGTGGACTATTAGAACCTGTCCTAATGTTTTTTGTCTAGCCTTCACCTTAATTTCTTTCAGAATTTGTTATTATTGGCTGGGCACAGTGACTCAGGCCTGTAATCCCAGCACGTTGGAAGGCCAGCTACTCAGGAGGCTGAGGTAGGAGAATTGCTTGAACCCTGGAGGCAGAGGTTGCAGTGAGCCGAGATGGCGCCATTGCACTCTAGCCAAGACTCCATCTCAAAAAAAAAATTATCATTTTTGAAATTTATGTCCCAGCGCTTAAAGTAGGCTGTTCAGTGGGTATCCAGTAGAAAGATGATAGGACTAGGAGTCAGGGAACCAGGGTTTTCGTCTTTCTTCTAAAACCTATTAGCAGCTAGCCATGGTGGCTCACACCTATAATCCCAGCATTTTGGGAGGCCAAGGTGGGAGGATAACTTGAGGCCAGGAGTTCAAGGCCAGCCTGGACAACATAGTGAGACTTCATTTCTACACACACACACACACACACACACACACACATAAGTAAACTATAGTAGTAGAATAAATGTATATGTTAGCTGGACACTGTGGTGTGTGCCTGTAGACCCAGCTACTTGGAAGGCTGAGGTGGGAGGACTGCTTGAGCTCAGGTGATGAGGCTGCAGTGAGTTATGATCGTGCCACTGTACCCCAGCTTGTGTGACAAAGATCCTGCCTCAAACCAAAACAAAGCCAAAAACAAAAAACAATGACAGTAACAACCCACCCCCCCAAAAAACCCCCAAAAGGCAATTAGCCATATGACAGTAGAAAATTGAAGATGAACCTGTATCCTTTTGGAATCTTATTTATCTTCTGTGTAAATTGACATAAATTAGATTAAATCAGTAAAGCATAAAATAATTTTGAGATCCAATAATTTTGAAATACTAAAGTTTCCAACAGATATAATCTATTAATTATCATTTCATATGAGAAAACTTATATATTTTTAAAATAAAGATGGGGGCTCACTGTTGCCCAGGATGGTTGAACTCCTGGCCTCTAGTTATCCTCCCACCTTGGTCTCCCAAAGTGCTGGATTTACAGGTGGGAGTCACCATGCTCGGCCCGAGAGAATATTTTTAACATTAAAACAAAACAAAACAAAAGTACAAAGCATAATCTCAGGAAAAGGACAGCCTTTTAAATTGAATAAATTTATTTTTATGAAAACTTAATACATTGTCCATATTTTTAAATTTCAGCATTTGTCAGAGAAAACTTTGTCATGGACTGGCAACTTGTGAGATCCTTTCTGGTTCTCAAAGCCTCTTTAGTTTTGTTAAAATAAATCTGGTGGCTGCTGTCTTTGTCTCCAGAATGAGCTCTAGAATACGTCTTTCATCCTGGTATCTCCTGGGCCTACCACAGTGCCTGGATTAAATAAATTAAAAGGTGCATTAGATTACATAAATTAGAAGGTGAAATGATCCCTGCTGAGTTGCAGTTCCTATATGGAAGGAGTATACCCCAAGAGGAGGGGGTGAGCCCATGGACTTCCAGCTTAGTTCTAAATGTGCAGTAAAAGCAGTCAAGTTGGTTCTAGGCTCCAAGTTCAATGGTCACGTTCTTCAATCCTGCCCAAAATCTGAATCTGGGATACGTATCTGCTATGGTCTAAATATTTGTGTACCCAAAATTAGTATGTTAAAGCCTAACCTCCAATGCAACAGGATTAAGAGGTGGGGCCTTTGGGAGGTAATTAGGTTATGAGGACTCACGTAGTGCCCTTATAAAAGAGGCTTCAGGGAATCGACTTGCCCCTTCCATCCTGTGATGATACACAGAAGGAACCATCTATGAGGAATGGAACCTCACCAGACATCAAATCTGCCGACACCTTGCTTGGATTTCCTGGCTTGCAGAACTGTGAACAATAAAGTTTTGTTTATAAATTACCCAGTCTAAGATATTTTGTTATAGCAACCTAAACATACTGAGACAGTGTCAAAAGTAGACTCAACATGATTCTTTAAATGGGCATTTTCTCTGTGTGTTCCTAAAACCAGGCTTTTTACAACAGAGGCAGCACATTTATTCATTCAGAACCAGGGTGCCTGGATTCAAATTTTGGCCTGGGCATTCACTAGGTGTATGACATTGGTCAAGATGCTTCACCCACTGTACCTCAGGTTCTTTACTTACAAAGCGTGAGTAATAACTGTAACTGCCTCATAAAGTTGTTATGTGGATTAAATGAATTTATATACTTAGAACGGTGCTGTTCACATACTTACCTGTTTAATTATAATTTTGACTGAGTCTCAAGAAATAAAGGAATAGAAAAAAAAATATTAAAATGGTCCTAAAAGAAATATTGGTGCATTTGGAATACTGAAGGAGAACATCATCAAAGTCCATAAAAAGGGAACTATAAACCTTATAAAACTAATTTCACGCAAAGGATAACAGAGGTTGAATACCTTTAAGTAGGTTCAATATTGATTGATTGATTGAGACAGAGTCTCACTCCATCACAGAAGCTGGAGTGCAGTGGTGCCACCTTGGCTCACTGCAACCTGTGCCTCCCGGAGTAAAGCGATTCTTCTGCCTCAGCCTCCTGAGTAGAGTAGCTGTGACTACAGACACGCAACTCCGCGCCTGGCTAATTTGTGTGTGTGTGTGTGTGTGTGTGTGTATATATATATATATATATATATATATATATATATTTTTTTTTTAGTAGAGACGAGGTTTCACCATGTTGCCTAGGCTGGTCCTAAACTCCTCCAGCCTCGGCCTCCCGAAGTGCTGTGATTACACGCATGAGCCAGTCTACCTGGCCCCAAAATTAATTTAGATAAATTCTTAAAGAGTGAATGCATAGCCGGTTATTGGGAAAACTGATAACGGTCTGTGATACATAATCACTTTTCTGAGGTGATAGGGAACCGAGAAACAGAACTTCTTGTGTACACATTATAATGACTTTGGAAACTTAGAAAAATACCAGTGTCAAGGTCCTGCAGCTGAGCCTATTCAACCACGATCTCTAGTGATGCGGCCCATGCACTTTTTTTTTTCTCAAGTTCTCCACCTGCTTCTAAGGGTGCCCCAGGGTTTAGAAACAACTAAATCAGATTCTTAAGAGTAATTTTTCTTAACTCTTTCATTTTGCATTTAATTTCCATCCCCAACCAGAATTCCACTCCGTCATACCAGTCTCTCCTCATTTTTTCTGCTGGCTCTTTTCAGCGTATTTCGTAGTGGCTGCTGTCTGTCTGTTACAGCCTTCCCACATGGGGGAGAAAATACATGTTTATCATTCAGTAAGTATTAGGCAAAATCGTAACAGCATTAACAATAGCAATAATTAGTCGCGCCAATTCTCCCCAGGTTAGAGCAGCAGAAACACTTGGGCTAGGATGCCCTCAGGACTATCCAACAAGTGGATGTACCACAGTGGCGTGGAAAGCTGCAGCGTTCTGTGCTGGCCAAGTGAAGTACAGACACCAAGCCGTAGCTACTAGGGAAAGAAAGAAGTGTCTTCGCTGCCAGTCGGCAGTCTACTTTAAATATTCTGAATCCTTAATCTTAGCAGTATTATTTGTTTCTCCCGAAAAACAAAATCTCCAAATACCAAGAAGTCGTTTTGCATCGCCAAAAGCTGCATAGGGGCAGGCTGCCAACAGGACTACTTGGGCACACTGCTGTGGCGTCTCTAGGCAGGTTCCTTTAATCTGCTTTAGCTTGGGCTAACTCCTCACTGCGGTGTTGCTCCACAGCCAGCCCCCGCGCGCAGCCCTCCCCGCGCCCGCTAGGCTGCAGAATCCGCCGCCCACGCCGCCTTCTAGCCGCAGTGCGCGGCCGGGCCTTGGTCGCGCGTGCGCGCGAGAGAGGGAGGGCGGGCCGCCGCCTGAGGAGGCGGGACAGGCCCTCGCGGTGTGCAGCTCATTGGCTCTCTCCTGCAGTACCCGCCTCCGAGCGTTCGAGGCGGCGGGGCGGGCCACGTCAGGCAGCCGGCGCTGGGCTGAGCTTGTGGCAGAAGGGAGGTAAGCCGTGCGGGGCGGCGGGCTGCTACCGCTGTCCCCTGCTAGAGAGCCGCTGGGTCGTGCCGCTTTCGGCCCGGTCGGCTTGCATGGGTGGCGGCTGCGGCCCTGCAGGACTGGGGCTGCTCTGGGAGACGGGGTAGTGGAACATGTGGCGGCAGGGCCGCGTCGCGGCGGAGGGCAGGTCCTACTGTTTGCATTCGTCCGGCCCTGCCGGGGCTCTGAGCTCCTGGAGGACAAGGCCTTCTGAGGTTACGGATCTCCGAGATACCTGGGCAGGGCTGGCTCTGGTGGCTGCCGTGGGACTCAGTGGGATCCCGATACGGAAGCCGGTCGGCGCGATCCTTGCATACTTAGCTGCAGCAGGTTGCAGTCGTCCTACTCTCCTTCGACTGGTTCCCTAGTTGGGGGCAGAGCAGGAGATTCTGGCCGGGTCCTGCCTGGCCTGGGGTGACTGTCTCCTCATTCCCGGTGACTCACTCAGATTGTGTCCACTTAAAATGCAAAGGCTTATGGGTGAGCAGGGCCCGTTTTCAGCCTCTTAGTTCTCTGGTTCTGTCCGCGCTTGCGGAAGTTACCTGAAGAAATACTATATATATATTTTGAAATTTTCGCAGCAGCTAACGTTGGGAGACATGCACTTGCGTTGCACTTACCCTTCATCAGTTTTAGTTTCAGTTGTGGCGTCCTGATCTCTCAGTGTGGTTCCTGAATTTGGAGCTTTTGAAATCAGTGAAATCATTCTGCCAATTTCATGCATTCATTCATCCATTCCAAACTTTTTTGATGGATTAATTGATGGTCAGCCTCATACCAGATACTAAGATCGTCATTTCCTGCGTTTTCTTCCAGTTTATATGCCAGTTTTATTGTCTTGATTTGAGTTGGGGTTTTTTTTTTTTGTTGTTGTTGTTTTCAGGTTCTAGTATCCCTTAAACCATGGTGGCCCTGACGGATAATCCTGGTAACTGTATCAGTAGTGACTCCAGGTTTCAGTGGCCTATCTGTAAGAAGGGGAATGGATTAGTATAATTTTGAGGTTTTCAGGGAGAGGAGGGGTAGATGGTGTGTTTCCTGAACAGTGTTAGCAGTTAGAAAGTAACTATTTTAAAAACACAGGATGTATTTTATATTATGTTTCACTGTGTCAACGAACATTGTATCCATCCATGTTCACTTTTTGACTAGCAAGCAAGTGCATGTTTTCAATTTTGATTCACATCCAATTTCTGCGTAGAAAGCAGTGACTCATCTAAATTTTGAAATGTAGTAATCATGAGCTATTTAATGTTACATACAAAGGTATGATGTTGAAACAATTGCATAAAAATGCAATTTTCAAAGCATTTTGACTTGCTTTGATAGATTAGTGGAAGCTAAAACCTCTACCTTGATTATTGGCTTACTTAATAATTGCTAGGTAGTTACGATTGCTTGGCTAGTATTTATCAATATTGTGTCTATTTTAACATTTGTTTCATTAACCTGAAATTTACTGGATTTTAGCTGATCGTTGCCTGCAGTTGAAGCCTGATAATCAAAAGTCCAAAAAATAGTTTGAGATCAAAATTTTCATGGAGATGTTACAAGAGTTTCTCATTTGTTGATTGACTGCTGGTACTTACCAGTAAATTGTTTGGCCTTTTTCCAGGTCTAAAAGGATTTTTAAAACAGTTAGTCGGAGACATAGTATTGTTAGCTTCATTATACTTTTGGGATATTGTCCACAAATGATTAGTTGAATTAAATTATATATATCACTATTAGGAGTTTGGGAAATTTAAGAAAATATAACGTCAAAATTTTGCATTTGCTTTTTTTTTTGAGACGAAGTGTCACTCTGTCACCAAGACTGGAGTACAATGGCACAATCTCTGCTCAATGCAACATCGACCTCCCGGGTTCGAGTGATTGTCCTTCCTCAGCCTCTCAAGTAGTTGCAATTACAGGCACATGCCACCATGCCTGGCTAATTTTTGTATTTTTAGTAAAGATAGGGTTTCATCATCTTGGCCAGGCTGGTCTCGAACTCCTGGCCTCAAGTGATCCACCTGTCTTGGTGCTACATCTTTCAGTTCTAGAAATGAACCTGATCAATACTGGAAGTTTAGCCGGGGAATATTCAAGAACTGAGGACATTAGCATTCTAGTGTAAAAAAACCACAATAAGAAATACAATTATAATTATATTTGGAGGAAATATAAGGAAATAATAGTGTCAGGATTATCAGTGAGTTTATAGCAAAACTTGATCTTAATCGGTATTTCTTGATGTATAACAATGAACTTGGTTTAAGTACAAAAAGAAAGTTAGGTTGATAATTTAAATTTTGATCAAGTGGGTAGTACCTATTAGAAGATGAGAAATCTATAGATCTAGAGATATATGGTATAATAGAGTATAGTATAGTTATATGAGTATAATATAAATCTGTGATTCACAATTAGTAATAGATTGAATGGAAGTTGTGTTACTATTTCCACGTAATAAGGAACATGATTTGCTTAGCTGATAGGACAAGGAATATTTGTGAATTTCCCCTGTGTAAATGATTTGAAACAACAAAACTTTAAGTGATGTGGAATAGCCCATCTATTTTCAAACAATGGATTGAAATATAGTTTTTATAACCCCCAAGTGGCCTCATATTGGAAGTAATAAAATTTCATTTATGATTTTAGAAGTTTATATTGGCTTTCATTTAATTAGCCTGAGTTACTTTAGTTTTATATATTTGGAAGATGTTTCAAAACCCTTGACTTTAAATACTGTATAGTTTTTCATTGTTCTTGATGGGAAAACATTTCTTGAGGCCAAAGGGAGTTGATAGTCCCTTTGCATAGATAGTCAGTTTATTACTATTATTTATTTAAAGCTTTATCTTTTCACTTGCCTGGGGACCAATGAAGCATTCCACTGAAACTCCTAAACTGAAGGTTTCAGTTCTTTCTAGTGCCTTCGAATGTATCTTCTAAGCTCCTCTTGGTCAGATGAGTTCCTGCTAATTTGGCTGATAAGTGTGTTGAACAAATGTAATATAGTAATTTTGAGTGTTGTAACTGTAGTTTTATTATGAAGTTCTTTGGTTGCCAGAGTGTATCTTTCCCTTCTCTCTTGACAAGCCTTTCTACTTGGCCTATCTGCTTTCATAATTTACACTTAAGTTTTACCCTGTTTCACAATCACTGCGCATGTTGGTTTATGTAACCAAACCTAGTTTTAGTGTATGGTATTAGGGCATACACATGGGGAGGAATGGAGGAAACTTTTTTTTTTTTTGAGACGGAGTTTCGCTCTTGTTACCCAGGCTGGAGTGCAATGGCGCGATCTCGGCTCACCGCAACCTCCGCCTCCTGGGTTCAGGCAATTCTCCTGCCTCAGCCTCCTGAGTACCTGGGATTACAGGCATGCGCCACCGTGCCCAGCTAATTTTTTTTGTATCTTTAGTGGAGACGGGGTTTCACCATGTTGACCAGGATGGTCTTGATCTCTCGTGATCCACCCGCCTTGGCCTCCCAAAGTGCTGGGATTACAGGGTTGAGCCACCGTGCCCGGCCGGAGGAAACTTTTTATTAAATGTTTTGAATTGTTGAAACATTTAAATGCAATTTTTAAAGAGTCATAATTATTAAAGGTATTATATTCCTTCATTCAACAAAGACAGCAACTATTTTGGTGCTAGGTCCCTAACTTTACTTTAAGAAACTTACCGTATTGCATGGACACAATAAACAAGGTGAAAATACAGTGAGATAAAGATTATAATTTAGTTGTTCACATAGCCTACAGTGGGGGATAGAAGAAACTGTGTGCAAGGTTTGAGAATATTCAGAGAAGGCTTATGGAGGAATTTTTATCTGAATTGAAGTTTGAAGTAAGTAGGAATTAGCTGGTAAGGTGAGAGGATAAGACACTCCAGGCACAAGAAAGCAGTGAGGACAAACAGATACGTTAGAGGCAGAATATAGACCCTCATGTGTTAGGAGAGAGAATAGAGAGTTGAACTTTAAAAAGTAAACAAGGGGTAAATGATGATAGCTCTCTTCCCACAATGTTAGCCATTTTGAGCTTTATTCTGGAAGCTATGGTGATCCATGAGTAATAGATTTTAAGTGGAAGAAAGTTAAGATCAGTTTCTTGAGGCAGTGTGAGGAATGAATCGTAGTGGAGTAAGGCAAAAATTTCCATTAGATGGGACAAAACTCTGAAAATGCAGTGGTACTTGAGAGAACAGGATGGATTTCAGATATATTCAGGTGACTGAGTTAGTGGCCAGATGGATGTAGGGGATGCAGAAGTGATGGAGTTAAGGATACCTCTTAGGTTTATGACTTCCCAAGATAGGAATCACATGAGGAATATCAGATGTATGGGGAGAATAAAATCAGTAGTTTTGGGCATGGGTTTGGGTCACACAGTTGGTGCTGTTCAGTGGGCATTTGGTTGCTTTGGTCTGGAGATAGAGAGAGAAAGCTAGGCTGGAGATAGAGATTAGGATGCTATATTTATTTATAGGTAGTTAAAACAATGTGAGAATGGATGATGCCTAAGAGCAAGTTTGTAGAACAAGAATAAAACAGAAGGGAGACCCTGAGAAACACCAACCTGTGAGAAAGATGACCCAGTGAAAAAGATAGAAGGAACAGCCTAATGACAGTCTGCAGAAGATAAGGAGGGAGAGAATCCAAGAAGAGACTGGTCAGATGCCATTAGGGAATAGAAGAGAGAGCGAAGTACAGATTTTGGATGGTTTCCCAGATAGGCCAGGATCATTAATTTGTAATAATACCAGTACATATGATTGTGTGACTTTTGGCAGCAAAATTAACTAGAACCAGAGATGATGAATAGTTGGATTGATACAATATTTGGATTTTGTTATGTGCATATGGTAAGAATGTAAAAGAGTTGAAAATATTGGTGAAAGAATGATCAGAGTGATGGAATGTAAAGTTTAGACTGGTTATGGATGGTGACAGAGTCAGGAGGAGCTGAGAGATTG